TCAGAAATACAAAATCTTTCCTGGGAACCCCAATAAGATACCCTTTTATATCTCTATACAAAACTGGGCTATATGGTTCTGCCTTAATTTTCCAGCAAAGCAGCCTGGAATACTCAGTATGTGGAAGACTAAATAATTGGCTTAATTTTAGACCATCATGATACAGTGCTGGATATAGTCAGACTATAGCTGTGAAAAAAATCAGAGTTGTTAGCAAGGAAGAAGGGAGATATTGAGAAGACAACTTACAGTGTTTACCAAAATGTACAGCTGACACCAATATTAAAAAAAATTAGGTTAAAGATACTGAACTAACATCTGCTTCTATGATTAACGGTGTCATGGAAGCACATAAACTCTTGGATGTTTATAAAGGAAAAATATTTGGCTGACCCATCATTAGTAGTTTTAGCTCTACTATGCTAAGAAAACTGTGATCTTCTCTTACCTTCTTCTACCAATAAATAAATGATATGCATACCTAATATGAAAATCTTATACCATGCTAGGGGGGAGAAAATAGCCCATTTCCTTTTCTTTTCCTTTCTTTCTCTTTCTTTCTCTTTCTTTCTTTCTTTCTTTCTCTTTCTTTCTTTGTTTTTTTTTTTTTTAAGAGACAGAGTCTTCTTTCTCTGTCACCCAGGCTGGAACCTCTGTCTCTGGGGTTCAAGCAATTCTTAATATTCCTGCCTCAGCATTCCAAGTAGCTGGGATTACAGGCGCCCTCATCATGCCTGGCTAATTTTGTGTATATTTAGTAGAGACAGAGTTTTGCCACATTGGCCAGGCCTGTCTCAAACTTCTGATCTCAGATGATCTACTTGCCTTGGCCTCCCAAAATGCTGGGATTACAGGTGTGAGCTGCCACGCCTGGCCCCATTCCTTTTTCTAAAGCAAATTAAATCTGTTCAGTCTTCGTATTTAGAATTGTCAAGAAAAATCTCAGTTAGTCTTTTTGGGGAAATATTCTCCTTCTCCCAAATAAGTTTCTTAGCCAACTCTAGTTTGATTTGACAGCTAAAGTTTGGAAAACTATACTGCTTGAATATAAAATATATGTGAGATACACTTAGATATTTATGACCATAAGGGAATTCCACTGCACTTCCATCCCACTAACATCCCAGAATCCAACTCTCTTATTGAGCCAGGCCAATCTTCCTTGTTCTTCTCAAAACAATTACTGTCATTTACTCTTGCCTTTGAGAAACCTGAAAGTCATCCCAAATAAATATCCAAATGAGACATATTTTCAGGTGCTTTACCTGACACAAGTTACTTTTAATTTCCCTGTGAGAGAGCAACCAATAAAGGCATACCTGTTCTCTTTTAAGAGACTATAGGGAGTAGGGTGAGAGAAAAATACCATTTCCTTCTAGAGTTGGAAAACAGATCAGAAATTAAGATCATAATACAGTATCCTTTCTGAAACATCACTCTGTTTAGATAATCCTGTAACAGAATTCAGCAAAACTCAATAGGATATTCTGCCCAGATTCCTTCAACCTCTCAACACACATTTCAAGAATGATTTCTAAATTTGGTGTATTTTATTCCCTCTCTAAAGGCAAAGTTGTAGAGACATCCTTTCTACTTGGTCACCTGGTACATCTTCACTTTTACTCTTCTATTGAAATTTACTGATTTATTTATTATTGGTCATAGGTTTAAATTTTGTCTTTTCCTATTGGAACATTATATGTTGAGAATATAGAGAGCAATTAATAAGAGAAAGTTCCCGCCCATAAGAAACTAACTTTTTAGTAGGGCAAGACATAAAAGAAAGTTGTGAACGAAAAGTAAGAGAACTACATTTAGAAGTAATTTAAAACAGGGCAACGGGATAGATAGTACCGATGAGACTACTGTAGCTGATTTTTTCAGACTCCATCTCAGAGGAGATGCTGTCTGAACTGATACCTGAATGATAAGAAAGAATAACCACATACAGAAAAAATGTTCTACGCAGAGGAATTAGCAAGTATAAAGGCCTAAAACCAACCTGAGCTTTAGTTCTGTGGCTACTTGCTTTCCTGAGAATGTGGCAAAATGAAAAATAAAGTTGGAAACTAGGCAGTGAAATGGTGTCATTGTCTATAGCAAATAACCGGGGTTCATCATCTTATGCCAAAGAAACTGAGGACAAGGACACAAGTGGGCTTAGGAGCAGAGGTTTAAAAGCCAAAAGAGCAAGAAGAACAGCTCTCTTTCTTGTGAGAGACAGGGGTTCCCAAATGGGACTTGCAGCCCATAGTGGAATGCACCAGATTTCATAGGCTTAAAGAAACAGTGTCTGATTTACATAGGGCCCAAAGATTGGTTGAACCAGGTGTGACATTTACACACAGGAAGCTGGCTGCCCCACCCTAATCTTATTTTGCAAATGAGATCTTGGCCTGGCCTGCACCATGTTGCCTGCTCCTTACTGTATGTATGACTGGGAAAGAGAAGAGAAGGTAGAGCCACTATTTTGAGCGTGCCTAGTCCCAGGTAGCCTTTTTCTATTGGCACAACTGTTAGCATTCACCTGTTTAAGTGTCCAGCTTGCTTGTTTCTGTTTGCAGCTTGATTTTATAAGCTGCTCATTGTCAAAAAAGAAGATGATTTGGCAGCTGCTTTTCATTAAAAGGAAAAACTTACCAAGAACTCCCGTAACCTCACTAACTGCCTAAATAATTTCTTAACTCCTTTATCATTGGGGCAAGGTGGCGTATAGAAGGGGCTTGGATTTTATTTAAAAGTCGCAAAGAGACTTTGGTCATTATCATAATGCTCAATATAAGAGTTACAAATCATAACAGCTAACATTTATCTACCACCTACTAATTGCAAGTTATAACCCAAAGCGGGAGCTAATATTATTATACCCAAGGAGAAAATGAGGAAATAAGAAGCATGACAAAGTTACCTTACTCACTGAAGGTCACATAGCTAACAAGTACAGACACAGAATTTGACGGAGAGTCTCTGCCTCTAGAATCGATATTCTTAATCACTATGGTATACTAGCTCTGAATCCAAGATTTTGTTACTTTAAAGTGTTATGGATTTAACATATTTTTAAAACTGACCGTGTAAATGTAAAAAAAAAAAAAAAAAAAAAAAAAATGGAGAAATAATGTTACTGCAATTTTTCCCAAAGAAATTTGTCATTTTATTCTTGAGAATCTGAATGTTTTCTTTTTGGTTATATTTACCATCAAGAAAAGACTTAGTCCTGCTATCATTCAGATTGTTCATGAAGTCTCTAAACTCTATTTCTTGAAGATTATTTCAGTACAGATTATTTTAGCCCTATTTACTTGTAGTTATCTTACTTTTATTTTGTAAAAAGGAATTGAGTATTTTTAACTGCCATCCACTACAGAGCTAAATTACACCTTATTAATGGATTATACTATCGTTTTATCAAAAGCTGACCTGCTAAATATGCACGTTGTCCAGCCATTAGGCAGTACTCTGGGCTCAGATGCTTTCTTGTTAATCTCCTCTGCACATTTAATTGACAAAAAATCCCACTGGAGAAATGTCCATTATCCCAAGAGAAAACTTTAAATATATTTGGATGTACACAGTCTTTCAGTTTTGTTGCTTGAAACCATTCAATAATCTACATGGAGCATGGCCATTTCAAATTTTATATTCAAATTAAAGGTAAGCATTAATTTGTGATGCCTTTTCTTGCATACTAGCCTTGTGAACATACAATAAATTAATCTTTAATTTAGTTACCAGTTTGTTGTTAGCAATGTAAATCATGTAAAATTATCAGATGACTTATTTACTCTACCTTTATTATTACTATTAATTCATTTAATGCAAATACAAGTAGAAAATAAGTAAATTACAAGGAAGCAACAGAGCCATTTAATGTGATTCTGTCCTATAAACCAGTTAGCAGATATATTTGACATTTCTTATATTTTTTAAATATCATAATAAACTGAGTAATAAAGGAAGTATTGACCAATGCTGCATTATATAGCTCAAAGTATTCTTACTGAAATACTAAAGAAAAAATTCTTAATTATTTGTCATTTACATAGACAATATTAAGTTTCTTTATACTAGAATAATAGAAGTATCATTATTTCCATAGCCTTTGCATCAGAGAAGTTTAGTAAATTCAAACTTACATATCTAAATACCTACTAATTTACACATTACATAAAATTAATTTCTGGCAAGTTGAAGACCTAACTGTAAATAGCAAAACTTTAAAATGTTTAGGGGAAAAAAAATGTGTCCTAGAAAAGCTGTGTCTTTAAGGTAGAAGTTTTCAGAAACAAGATACACAAGCAAAAATCCATCAATAATCAGTAGCATTTCTGACCTTCTAAGCACTCCTTGATGTGTAGAAACCAAAAACCTGGCAACTACATTTTTCAACTCTTGCCAACAAAGATTTCTGCTTAGATTTTGCCAATTAAAGGCAGACCTGTGAGAGCTGAAACGTGAGATCGATGGAGTAGCCATTATTTTCCACCAGCAGCTGCAGGCAGGAGTGTGGTGCTGGCAGGTGGTCTTATGTGGCAGCAGCTTCCCTGAACTCCTGAATTTCCTGAAAGCCGCAGTGATGTTCTGACTTTCACCTGCTTTGCATTTGCAAAATCATCAAGGCCTCTAATTTCTCATTTTGAATCTTAGCTACACACAGTATGTAAGTGGCTTCTGTCTCCCTGACCAAGTCTTGGTCATTTATCATCAAAAAAAGAAAAAAAAAAAACCAAGAAGAAGAAGAAAAAGGAAAGATAAAAAATATAAGAAATCCAACAAAAAAACCTCCCTATAGAAAGGGACACTGTAAATAAAGGCAAAACATTTTAAAAGGAGATATTTATATAATGGAAAACATACACTATCTAGAAAAAAGTCTTACAGGTCAATAAGAAAAAATAATCCTAAAAGAAAAAACGGGGCAAAAATCAATTTCACAGTAGAGGGAAGTTCAGAAAAAGAAAAAAGAAATGCTTAACTTGGTAGATATTAAGAAATGAAAAATTATTTTGTGGTTCATAAGTATGACGATTAGGTTTTCACATTCCTGTGAGATGTGCCTTCCTCAAATCTTGTTACAATGTCTGCATATTACCCATCAGCCATGAAAAGAAAAAAGAAATGAAAGTGGAAGCTCAAATAATATGATATGACACCCTCACAGAGTACATGAAAATTAAAAAGTTGTGCAACACCAAGTACTGATGACAGTTTCCAAAAATTGAAATTCATAAACTTTGGGGAATGTAAATTGTTAGTCATCTAGGAGAGTAATTTGGCAATATCTACTAAAATTCCACTTCTGGATATATTTAGATTATACCAATTATACATTATGGTGAAATGCCAAATGGCTGACTGATTTTAATTAAGCTAATATTCAGTTAAAGATGAACATCACCACCATGGTACAAGTTTATGATGTGCAAGATACAAACTTAGCACATTTAATATTACTTACTAGTTCATGTCTAATATTAAAATTTAGGAATATCAGCAACATGTTTTCTAGTAAGAACTTTATATGTAGGACTGAAAACATCCACAGTTTAAAAAAAGAAAAAGAAACTTAAATATCTTAACTCCTGAAAGCAATTGGAAATGCATAGTAATAAATTTCCACAAGCTTTTTTTTTTTTTTGCTTAAATTCTTAAATTCCATAAACTAAAAACTGGAAGTGATTCTTAAAGCATTCTTCTTAAGTTGTTAAAGTCTTCTTCTAAAGTTGTAGCTTCAAAGTTTGATTTTTTTAATAGTTTGTTGAGTGTGAAATACATGGTGTACCAAATTTGTTTTGATTAGTTTGATTAGTGAGAAAAAAGTTTAATTGTTCTTCAGCATTTTCTTTTTTTCTTTATTCCCTTTACACTCTTTATTGTGTCTCAGTCACAAAGGATTATTACAGCTGTTTTATATTATCATGGAGCGTTTCCTGTTCATGTATTTTGAGGTGGCAAAGTTGACATTCTGCTTTATATACCTCTTCATTTAAATATAAAGAATTTAAAAATGTTTCCTTGCAAGACTCCTGACCAAAATGGAATTTAATGGCCAAATATTAAATATGGTTCCTAAAAATTATTCTGCCTGATATTATGGATTAAATTCAACAAACAATTCTATAGAGATTAAAATTATTGCAGAATAATATAATATTTGTCTCCTTGCATTATATCAACTTTTATTAACATGTGTGATTTCAAGAAGCATATTTCTCTAACATGTTTAGCTGACAACTTTCCCAGTTTCCTTTTTAACAATCTATTCCTTTTTTATTTAGTAATATGGAAGTTTTTACAATTGGTACATAAAACTAATATATCTTCATTGACCATTAAATACTCTGTAATTTAACTTATAAAGTATATATTAATATTTTAACTATTTTTTTAAAGCAAGAAAGAGTCTTATTTTTTTCTGAGATGGAGTTTTGCTCTTGTTGCCCAGACACAAGTGCAATGGCACAAGCTCACTGAAATCTTTGCTTCTCAGGTTCAAGTGATTCTCCTGTCTCAGCCTCCCGAGTAGTTTGGATTACAGGCATGTGCCACCATGTTCGGCTAATTTTTTGTATTTTTAGTAGAGACGGGTTTCTCTATGTTGGTCAGATTGGTCTCAAACTCCGGATCTCAGGTGATCCACCCACCTCGGCCTCCCAAAGTGTGGGATTACAGGCGTAAGCCACCATGCCTGGCCAAAGAAGTCTTGTTAAGTTACATAAAATATATTTTATTACATTTAAAAAGTGAATTTTCAGATGCCACTTTTATTTTTAAATGATGTAAATTATTTTTATTATTGGTAGTGTTTTGCTAATATGATATGACATTACCCTGTGTAAACACATATTCATGAACAAATTGAGAGAAATTATGGCTAGATCAGAATTTTACTTAATCTTTTAATAAGCCAAGACAGTAACAGATTAGAAGATTTTGGTTGAATCTTGAGGGCAAGATGAACTTTAGGTCTTTCACTGGTGCAGGCCCTATAAAAACACTTGTACATGTGCAAAAGGAGACATAGAATTACAGCATTTTCATAGCAGTAAAAAATTGGAAACAATATAACTGCCGCAAAATAAATTAGTTTGGGAATATGTCACCAATGGAATACCACAGAGTAGTTAAAATGAATAAAATGTATGTGTGTGTGTGCGTGGGTGTGTGTGTGCACACACCCATGCACACACATGCATGTGTATATAATTATACAGATAAAACACAATATGGGACAATAAAGCCACAAAATTTTTAAAATAACTATATTATTTATAAAACGTATAAATACTTGCAAAATACTATATATTGTTCATAGATATATAGATATTTAATAAAAATATATGTATACGAATAATAAACTGAATCAGAACATTTGCTAGCTCTCAGTAGGGAAAAATCAGAAAGAGATTGGGGAGGAATGCAAAATAATCTTTAACTTGTTTTGTAATAATAATATTATTAAAGTGAAGATAAATGAACTAGTATTAATGATAATCGGAATTTTAATCTAAATTAACATTCATATGAATTTGAAACAAATATGATACAAAACTAGAATGTGATAGAGCTAGTTGATGAACTTGTTATTCTTTCTATTTTTTTGTAGATTTCAAATCATAACTTAAAATAAATTAGATATCTTTGGAGAAATATGCTACATGGTGGCAGGAAAGGAATGAGATCTCAGTTTAAGGTATTCAGAAAATCAGAAAGATCTAGGTAATGGAGATTATCAGTTAATTTGTGTTCTAGAAATTTTCATTTCATGAAAGCATCAAATTTCACAAGAGGTGGTGAATATTTATAGCATATATGATTTTTCATACAAATCTTTAATTGTGAATTTCAAGTATTTGAGCTTTTCAATGAAAAGACTAGCAGCTGAACATTTCCATGAAGATAAGATATTTTTGCATATTTATGAATAAGGAACAATAATTCCACCAATTTGGACTAAATTATGTTGTGCTTTGTAGCTTATATACTATTGTCCATGTGCATTTTCAGCTACAATGCAAAATATTATAAATTATCTCAATTTACAATGAATATATCCATTTTACCTCATCACCAGCAATTGCCAACCACATTTACAGAAAACTCAAATTAAGGAAGGATGAATTTGGTAATAAGCCTCAAAAACAACTTGATTTCCATTTTTATTCTGAAAAATGATAAATGGTAAAATCTTGAATGATTAACTGAATATTATGCCTGCTAGAAGAAATGCAAACTTGTAATTTTTGAGCAAAGACATTTTAAATCTAGTATTAAATATGCAGATCCATGCAAAGTAATGTCCTGAAATTTTAAAGTTACTACTTCTGCTGTTCTGTGTTTGAGAGACTGGCCTTCTTGACTGGCCTCTTTACGCTTCATTATATATGTCATGATTTGAGTTAATGACTGCTAACTTAATGAAGCTGTTTGCATATTCACCCAGATGGGGCTGTTATGAGAAAAAGAGAAAATTCTTGAAACTTGTTTTAAAAATTGTCCCTCAAATTTCAATTTCTTATCAGTATTACTTTAGTTCATTTTTCAATTTTGTCCTAGAAATAATTGTGTCTAAGAATCCACCTTCAATCATGAACATTATTGAACATTACTGAACATCTAACCTATGCCAGGATTTGTGCTAGACGGGTACTGTGAGAATGAAGGAGGGAAAAAAGGAAAGAATTTCAGCTATAGGAAAACAAGGAAAAGAAACAAATGATTGGAAGTGAATTGAAAAGTACAAATAACTCTACGGTTTAACAGAAGGGGAAGTGACTAAGACCCCCAATAGGAACTAAGAAAGACTCCTAATATTCTCTGAGAGATGTTTCTCTGACTCACAGGAATAATAGGATAAACTTAGAATTACACAAGTCCTTGTGACATTATGTATGTTGTGACAATCTAGTTAGTCAATGATGCTAATTAGTGATTTGACACAAGTGAGCTAATACACAGTTTTTTGCCTTCTAATTCAAATCTAGATTATTTTGGTCAAGAATCCATGCCTAGAAAAGTGATGCAGACCTCTTTTTAATCACCATATGATTTAGGACACAAGTAAAAGTTTTTTTCTCCAACATTTTTGTCTTAAGTGATTTTCCTCATTCATAAAACTATTTAGAATATTCTTAAAGTTTTTCTATTCTCAGAAGCTATAACTGATATAACTTTTCACCTAGTTGTCCTTGGTGTATTTATTACATAATTTATCCTACTTTTTTATTTTTGAGATGGAGTCTTGCACTGTCATCTGGGCTGAAGTGCAGTGGCGCTATCTTGGCTTACTGCAGCCTCCGCCTCCTGGGTTCAAGTGATTCTCCTGCCTCAGCCTCCCAAGTAGCTGGGATTACAGGCACCCGCCAACATGCCCAGCTAATTTTTTGTATTTTTAGTGGAGACAGGTTTTCACTATGTTGGCCAGGCTGGTCTCAAATTCCTGACCTCATGATCCACCCACCTCTGCCTCCCAAAGTGCTGGGATTACAGGTGTGAGCCACTGCACCCGGCCTATCCTACATCCTGCAAAATATTAAAAACAGAAGAACTATATTGCTAGTGTAGATTAGATTTTGATTTGTTCATATCAGGTTTGGTTTAACTTTTGAAGTGTCCTTTTCTAGTTCCTTCAGAAGCTTAATTGTGTTGTGCAATGACTGTTGGGGTTTTCAGCATTCACCTTTATTAATTTTACTCTGAACATGCAAATGAGGTATTCAGGATGAAGATAGATTCTTATTAAGTAATATAATAATGATGATGATGATTACTGTGTCAGCTCTTCTTTCACCCAGTCCTTGGTCCTGTAGCAGCATGATGAATACCTAATGAAAAAAATCTTCTACAGAAGTGTCCAGTGATTTCATAGACAAAGGAAGAAAAGAAAATGACATATTTTGTTTAAGGCAGCTTTCTCCCTCTTCTATCCTGGAAGGTGGGAAAAAAACTTATGCTTCTTGGAGATGGGATGGGAAGGATCATGTGTTCTTACTCTAACCTTTTGGAATGTAAATATATCTATCTACGGGACATATTGATCTCCCATGTCTCCAGCTTTTATACCTAGAGATGTGTATAAATTTCTGGGTCTCATTCTTCATTG